GGGCGTGAGGGTGGCGGTGGGTACACACGCGCATTAACATAAACAAAAAACCCTCTTCGATGTTTTAGTTTCCTCACAACGCACCGCACCGCACCGCTCACCTCGTCCGTGTCCCTGAGCGGGATCTCGATGGAGCCGCGCGACATCTCGAGACGTCTAAGTGCGGGCCCGAGGCTGGCGCGGTGCCGTGTGGGTAGGACGAGGTTGGTGGGGGTGGCAGCACCGCGCGGGTCACGTGGGCCGGATGTGACGTCACGCGGCCGTCCCAATACCGCCGGCCATCTTACGTAGGGGCAGCGCGAGGCTTTCTCGGCCAATACAGACAGAGAGAAGGTCCTTCAATAACAAAAAAGTTTTTAATACTTATATGGGACTATCGTTTTTAATTGATGAAAATAACGGATAAGATACGCTGTAACGTGATAACAATTGTGTGTTGATAGCTTCAGAAAGTCAAAGAGTCTCCCACTTATTCTTAGTTTTTTCGGTAAAGTCACGTTGAAGGGAAACAACAAAATAATAAAATATATAAAACAATCAAAAATTCTCACGACGTTTCGACCATAACTCAAACGGTCATCTTCAGGTGTGTTGGTTTGCATAAATTTATTTTTAAACGGCGCATTTATTTTATGCAAACCAACACACCTGAAGATGACCGTTTGAGTTATGGTCGAAACGTCGTGAGAATTTTTTATTGTTTTATATATATTATTTTGTTGTTTTCCTTCAACGTGACTTTACCGAAAAAACTAAGAATATGAATTACTGCAGTCACGAAAGCTTTAAATACAAATTTAGTCTCCCACTTGTTCGCGATCATTGTCTGGAATCTTCTGCAGGTGTTCTCCAACACATTTATTGTGGTGTTGTTGCAAATTCTCGGAAGTGTTAACATTTTTTTTAAACACCCTGTATTCGCAATAGAGGTGTTGTGTGAGAGATCGCGTTAAATGTGTGTCGTTGAACCCGCCACCACCCGACACACCCAATTAAGGGGTTTGTCACGTAAACAGAATGTGCCAATTCGTTACTGGTACGGCAAACGTCGGCGTGTTGGAGAGCAAATCCACAAAAATTTACAATCCGAGATCGACGTTTCGCCAGTAATTACAAATAGCTTCATCAGGCGACATCAGACTGCAGGAGGAAATCCGATGAGCTTTCAAGCTCTTCCCCCCCCCCCATCTCTCACAGATGTGCGTTAAGGAGCACGTGGTCAGAACCGTTACAACAATACAAACACGCACGATAGTGCAATGTATAGGAAATATATACAACTATCTTCAGAAAAAAATATAAATAAAACAACTGCTTTTATCTTACCAGGTAAGGCCCACTGGCAACCGTCATTGTTATTTAACACCCTGAACTAAACTATTTTTCTATATTTTATAAGGTAAAGGTCTATGAGCTATACAGTATATCTCTAAATCAGAAGCGACCTGGCCACAAATGATAGCTCAACGAAGTGGCTTAACGAATTTGCATCGGCAGACAGAACCCGCCTCTTGCTCCATGTCATTAAAACTAAAACAAGATTATGAAAGTACATTTCAACCCATGCCATCGGCATCGTTTCAACAGGATTGGTTCAACACAAGCATTTGCAGCAGGCTTTGGAGATATGGAGTGCCTGGGCAAGTATTGCCACCTGCTGGTCTCGCATCTCACTCCACTCCCTTCCACGCACTCTCCTACCTCTCCACTCTCATCTCACTCCACTCCCCTCCACGCACTCTCCTACCTCTCATCTCACTCTACTCCCCTCCACGCACTCTCCTACCTCTCCCCTCTCATCTCACTCCACTCCCCTCCACGCACTCTCCTACCTCTCCCATCTCACTCTACTCCCCTGCACGCACTCCCCTACCTCTCCCCTCTCATCTCACTCCACTCCCCTCCACTCACTCTCCTACCCCTCCCCTCTCATCTCACTCCACTCCCCACCACGCATTAAGAAGCATGAATTATGTTATATCGATAGACAGACACGTACAAAGAAACCCAGACAACCATTGCTCAGTGGGAGATGGCCCATTCTCTTCTGCTGCCCTCCCTGTTGTATATTTAAAAAAAGATCCTTACCTCAATCAGACCGTGATGTCGGCGGCCTGCCCCTGTTCAAATCCAGACTCAATTATTTCCCTTTTCCCTCTGCCTATGACTGACTTGCTTCTCTTTCTCTGCAAAATAAACACACCCACTGTTTTTGTACAGCATCTACTGAACGAGAGCGGTGGCATTTGGACGCTGTATAAATTCAACCTGTGCAAGGCATTTAATCTCAGCTCACAACGGAATTAATCCCAATGGGCTCTCACATAATTAACAAATCAATTACATTTTGGGTCAATAAGGATTTACTGACATTCAGGTTCCTTAAATCGATTAAACAAAACCAATCATGAAATGTAAACAGTCGGATGACTATTCTTGGTTCTTTCGGTAAAGTCACATAGAAGGGAAACAATAAAACAATAAAAATATAAAAAAAATTGTAAAATAATAAAAATATAAAACAATATTTTATTATCTTATTGTTTCCCTTCTACGTGACTTTACGGAAAGAACCAAGAATATGAATCCCTGCAGTCACGAAAGCTTTAAATCAAAATTTAGTCGGATGACTGATTACTTGAGGCCATCAGTAATCAGCGGTGGTGGCTACGCCTGTAATCCAGAACTGTGGAGGTCAGGGTTGTTGGATCACACAAATATTGTGAAACTCCCTTCCCGTGGGGGTCTAGGAGGAAGGAATCTTACTGGTAGGAACCTCCTGGTTCCACCAGCCCACAGGGGATTATTGTGTCCGTCCGTCGTGCATCCAAAAATGGGAGGGGTGGGGCTGGGTGGGGCTGGGTGGAGAGGGGGGGGTGGGGAGGGGCTGGGTGGGGAGGGGAGGGTGGGGAGGGGCTGAGTGGGGAGGGAGGGGCTGGGTGGAGAGGGGAGGGTGGGGAGGGAGGGGCTGGGTGGGGAGGGAGGGGCTGGGTGGGGAGGGAGGGGCTGGGTGGGTAAAGTGGCCACGGCACACCACGTGGGGGTTGGTGGCCACCAACTACGTCCGGCCATCTTCACGACATTTTTCCCTCCACGTGGAGAATCAACAACATGCGTTTGGAGTATGCGGCTGCTTCCAATCTCTACATTATAAGCCGCCAATTCGTGGGTATTGTACTCTTTTTTTTGAGGAACAGCTTTTTTTTTCCTCTCCACCATCCCAGGTCCCCACACGGTCCCCACCCTTCACGCCGGCTTGTGCCCGCCCTCACAGCCGGGCATATTTGCGGAATACACCACGTGGTGCCGCCGTTGATCCTGGCCATTGACCGAGCAACCCAACGTTCCTACCAGCTCCCTCCGCAGGAGAATGTCTTATACCCTGGCTCGCCAAAAGGCGGTACAGCAAATATATGGACTTCACCTGTTTGATCTGTATGTGATCGAGTGTTACCCCCTCGCACACGTGGGTTTTCTGCGGTTACCCCGGTTACCTCCCATGTGCAATGAATTGGCCGATAACACCTTCATACATCGAGGACTGCAGAGCTTGTAGGGAAGGGGGATTGGACGCAGGCTCATCGCGTGGCTGCTGCGTTTCCCGCTCGTCTGTGTTATTGTTCTATCGTTCTGACACGCTCTTACTGGACACCTGTGAAAAAGAGCTTTATAGCTCTTCGGATTCCTCCAATAAAAATAAAGATTCTGATTCCTCATCACACCTCTGAGTCATCCTCTCTACAAGAGTGAGTGAATACTGTGGTGCGGCGTCGCGTTACAAGTTGACATTATTATTGAAGTAACAGCAATCCCGTAGTGCAGCTCATGTGCAAGACACCATGAGAGACGGCCACGGATTTCGGGAGGCCTTCATCCAGCAGTGGATAAATCCTCACCGGTGATGATGACAGTTTTTTTCAAAGTCAGGTCTCCTCCTTGCGTGCCTCAATAAGCAATTTGAGTTTTGTTTTCTCTGCGTTGGTCAGCCATGATTCGACAAATCCTTTGACAGAGGGGAGCAGACCGTGGATAATTGAGGAATAACGCGATTAAAAAACTAGTTTAATCTCGAAACAACAAAAATGTTATAAAAGTTTGTTATGGTGTGGTGTGCATGGACAACACGATGGTTTAAATTTTGATTTAAAGCTTTCGTGACTGCAGGCATTCATATTCTTGGTTCTTTCGGTAAAGTCACGTAGAAGGGAAACAATAAATACAAATATAAAACACGACGTTTCGACTGCAGTCGATTATTTTATTGTTTCCCTTCTACGTAACTTTACTGAAAGAGCTAAGAATATGAATTACTGCAGTCACGAAAGCTTTAAATCAAAATGAACACGATGGTTTGTTTGACGTATCCAGTTGCAGGTCGTTGCTCGTAGCGATAACGGCCTTGCTGGAATTTTTTGTTTTCCTTATTTTTAAATGCCCGTTGCCGTGGCAACGCGAATGCGTTTCCGTGGTAACGATTATTAAATTTTAAAATGCGGATTTTTTTTTCCTGTTCACTCATATCCATGCGACGCGTCTTAGTTTACTACTCGAACGGGTTTCATCCGGGCGAATAAATACAAAGTATTTCTTTATGTTTTATAAAAAAAAAATACTTGTTAAGTCGAAGGTCTCAACGACTGTGTTTTTTTTTAATCCAGCCAATCGGCGAGCGAGAAATGGCACGCGCGTGACGTCTCCACAAGCCACGCCTCACGCGTGGGGCGTGGTTTATGCTAACGAGGGAGCACCAAAACATCGGCCACCCCACTCGCGAGCCTCTTGAGGGGGGATAAGTGGCTCACCTAAAGTTAACCGATTCAATCAGGGACAAAGAAAACGCGTCGCGAACGATAATAATGAATTTTACAGGAATTAATATAATTGTTGAAGTCGTGAAACTTATGAGTTACGGCGGAACTACTGACTTAAAGCTGTTAAAACGAACAACTTTTTATCGGTCCACCCCCCACCCCATACTTCCGTCAGTTGGTCTCGTCTAATTCATACCGTGATGTCACGCTTTAAAGGGCGCATGCATTGATCAGCTGTTCCGTAGAGCCGTGTTGCTGGAAATTCACATGCGTGGTGACCGCTTTTGTTGTTTATGTTTAAAAAAACACCCTACAAATAATCATTGCATTTTAAACAGCCGGCACTAAAGCTTCTACGACGGTTCAAGAAGTATCGCGCTTGAATCTCGCGGACACGAAGGTGAGAATGAATACACGTGTCGCCGTATCTGTTGTATTTGACCCGTCTCGCGACCGCTAGTGTTTACGTAACAGTGTCGCTGATGGTGGTGCTTGTTGTAAACAGACGAAGATGTGCTCCCATTGGCAGTAAACTAACCCTCCCCCCACCTCCCTGTGTGCCCCACGGCTATAAAGGTGACTTAGTGTGTACACTCCGCGCTGATTTGTAATTCAATTACGCCCCTCTCAATTAACTGCTGGGGATCGTATGGGTTGAATGTAGAGTTATAGCTCTATCCGGGGTATAAGTGTATATTGAGTTGTAGCCGCCTGGCTGATAGTCCGTGAGATTGGCTAACCGCGGAGTGCGACCAGTTCGGGCGGATATAGATACCATCAAATATAGTAACTCCTATTGTGTCTACATATACAAAACAGTCATGTTTTATAGTCCATCAGCATCATTGGTGTTTCAGACCGTTGTAAAGTAAGCATGCGTTTCAGCAAGCAAACTTAGGACTGCTCTCGACTGACTGGGTCTCATCAGCAGTCATTCTTGCGGGGAGGGGAGGGGAAGAGAACAGACATTGTGTTTAGTTTGTTGTCCTTCCCCTGCAGCCTTTGTTAACAATCCACTGCGAGATTGAGGCTCGTCCCGCGGGTTATTTGACCATACTTCACCCCGCTGGTTCGTGCGAGTTGGTAAAATCGTGGAATATAGAACGGGGAGAGGCGTGGAAGTGCATTTCAGCCGTGGGTGTTGCTGCACTGTCCTCGATTGCACTCCACGTAGCCTATAGCACCTGTTACACGATTGATATTCATCCATCCAAGCGCTATCCAGGCTCGACGACCTGCTTGGCTTTCGAGATGTGATGAGATGGAGCGCATTGTACGTGTCCGTGGTGTCTTGTATTTATGCAATACTCGAGACTGTAAAGTGTACTTGGCGAGTGTCGCAACTTTAAACAGGCCGGCATTAAAAGCGATCCGTAATAGAGGTGTTTGGGTTAGATCGCATGAATATAACTGCTGTGTCGTTAAACCCGCCACCACCCAGCACAGTCAATTGTGGTGAGCTTTGTCACGTAAACAGAACGTGCCAATTCGTTGCTAGTTTACAGCACACTGGTGTGTCGGAGAGCAAATCCACATTCGCGAAAGCCTACGTGTTAAACTAATTAAAAGCGATGTGAAATCGTTCCCCACGCGGTTTGCGTCGTCCACGAGTCGCGTCGTGGTCTCGTGAAGTACACAAGTTCGCCGCTTTTTTAAAAATATATATAAATATAATCGTCATATTCCAATCCACTGCTGGATGACCGCGTCCTCCGCAAGAGCCATCGCCAACAAATCGCCCACCACGAACTTATTTCATCGCTCCGTCTACTCGGCAGACGACATCAAGGACGCGTTCCCTTGGTGTTAGCGTCGATGTATGCGTGCTGAACTTCTTTCGCACCGTTCGTAGCCAACCGTGCCAATCGATATACAGTAGAAGGCACGTGTCTTTCTGTTGTTGTCACGCCAATTAAAGGGCACCCGCACGAATAAAAGCCAGTGGCAACCGTCATTGTTATTTAACACTCGAAACTAAACCATGTTTTGTTCGACCAGGTAAAGGGCCCACCGAGCTATGTACCGGTAATTATTTTATTCTTCAGAAACGACCTGGCCACAAACGATAGCTCAACGAAAGCGGGCCTATCATCACGTGGACATTTATAGCCGCCAAATAATACGCCAAACGCGCCTTTCGAAATGTGGAGGGGAAAACACCCGGAGGACCCGGAGAGCGAGAGACGCGAGCTCCAAATACACAGCCAGGCATCGTCAGGGTCGGGATCGACCCCACGACTTCCTCCTGTACACCCGGCGAGGGAGTTAACATCTCGCCCCCGTGGCTGCTGCTTCTGTGTATCGCCTTGCTTCGAGTGCACGTGCAGTACGCCGAGAGACCGTTTATTTGTGCCGAAAGTCGTTTTAGTAGGCGTAAGTAAGGTATGGTAGTGACGTTAATAGAATATAATTTATACTTCGTGTGCATGTGCGGTCGTTGTTTACGAGGCGGCGCTGTCCCTTTAAACGAGGGGGGGGGCGTAGCGAGTGAGCAGCGTGGGGCGGGGTCTGCGGCGGGGGGGCGGGGTCTGCGGTGTGACGCAACGCCGCTCGTTATAGGCTTCTTGGGTTTCGGTGACGGCACGTGGTCTCTTTGAGGGGGGGAGGGTGGGCACGTAGAGCCAGGCAATGCCAAACTCCGGGGACTCCTCGACTTACGAACAAGTTAGGATCCAGAGGTCTGTTCGTAAGTCGATTTGTTCGTAAGTCCAACTTTTATCCTGGCGATTCCAAACGCGTTGTACAGCGTGTGCGCTAAACGCGGGGAATGGCTTTAAAAGTTGCGTAATTATTTATTTATTTTTCTGCGTGACTTTTACCGAAAGAACCAAAGAGTAATTCCTGCAGTCACCAAAGCCCCAAATGAAATATAGGTGACGCTTTTTTGGGCAATGTCCCTTCGTCTTTGATAGAGTGCCCTTGCCAAAACATATTGTAATCCAGCGGTATATGTTTCACAAGCGTGACCCTGCTGATGTGACCTAAACGGTTGAAACTTGTCCAGATAATTTTGGTCTGGAAAGCCAATAGGTTGATAGACTAAAACATATATATGTGTGCAGACAAATTAGAGTAGTGCTTATATTTGTTTTTTTACCCGTGTTTCCAAAGTTGGCTGTACAAAAAAACACAAACTGTTGGCGTTCCATTTAGCTATCGGGGCGGTACAGCAGAGAGATGGAGCAATGAAATCTTTGAATGTGCAGGTATTAGGTGGCACAGTAGGGGGCACAGGTGGTGCATTGGCCAATCATCTCAGTCGGTCAACCCATGGCACCAGCTGGGTCTGTCCCGTGAACTCCTGCCAGTAGGCGTTCGATACTTCACGTGGCCTTAACGTGCACATAGCCTGGCACAAGCGCTGTAGTGACATCACCACCACTTGGTGGCAAATGACGGTTATTACATATCATGATCGAGGCGGTGGGGATTTGTGGGGGTTGATGGGGGGGGGGCTTCATCCAGCAGTGGATTAAACAAATTTAATGATGATTTAATGTAGCCGAAAACAAGCCTGAGTTACATTTTGTAAAATATAACAAGTTGATTGGCACAGGGTTGGACCACTCTGTTTGGAGAACCAAGGAGCGCCACCTGGAGTTGACCTTTTGGAAGTAGATTGGCAACGTTTTTGGCAAGGACCCTCTCTTAGATATGGCTCCTTGTTCGTGGAGAATATAAATAACACAATTAATAAGTAGACAATGCATCTTTCATATGCGGGCAGTTCGCCAGCATTGGTCCAAGCAAGTCTTGACTGCTGACGAGTCATTGAATCTTGAAATCAGTCCAGTTTGCTTGTCTTGAACCAATCCTGCTGAAACTATGTACTCTCAGAAAGCCGTTTTATCCATGGGCCAAAGCAAAATTTGTACCACCTAGGTAGCAAACCCTAATTAGTGGAGATGTATTTGTACACCTGAGAGTTAATTTCTGCACAACCCCACTCATTCCAAATGGTTATCACAACAACTAACTGTTAGTGGCCGCTTAAAGAAACTGGAGCCGCAAATGTTCCGGCACCTCAGGTGGTACCATCCAAGTGAAATAAGTGGTCCGAGATCATGAACAATTGTGGCTGTTGGGATGGGTAATAACAAACGTCAGTCCTCTAAGTGGAGGAACACATGTGAGATCAAGGAGTATTTTCCACTTAGCGTGTTATTTATATCCTCCGCAGCGTCGCTCGTGATTATTTTAAGCAATGTTTTAGATATATATTCTTTGTTCTTTCGATAAAGTTATTCCGACTACACAATCTGCAAAGCTATCACTCCAACCATGAAGAAGGACCCTCTTGAGGAGCCTTTCAAAACCATCACTTTACCCTACATTGCGGGGATCACAAAAAAGATCTCCAAAATCTGGAATAAACACAAGATCCAGGTCCGTTTCAACACATTACATAAAATCCGTGATCTGGTTCCGTCTGTAAAAGATGTGATTCCGGACATACAGTACCCTGGCGTCTACAAACTAAGTTGTCTCTGTGGTAGTAGTTACATTGGAGAAACCAAACGACATGTCTCGGACCGCATTCGTGAACACAAAGCAGACCTGAAACACTGTCGGACCAACACCTCGGCCGTGGCAGATCACTGTTATAATTCAGTAGGTTCAAATGACATTGACTTCTCCAAGACAGAGGTTCTTTGTAAGCCATCTGGCTACCATGAGAGATTCGTTCATGAGGCTATCCACATATACAAACACAGAGACAATTTCAACCGAGAAGATGGATTCTGGCTTAGCAATCATTGTAAGGATTTGATAAACCATTTCGGGTCTTAATTGATTGATCACGCTTAAGGTGGCTTTCAGACCGCATCTATTATTTTTCGTCTCCACCCTCCTCTTTTCCGAACATAGATGGACTCGTCTATCTGAACAAACTGTCAAATCGCTATCCGTGGTGCTAACGTTAAAAAAACGGCACTTTTTTCAAATTTTCCTTGTTGTTTTCACACCTGATGATGATTGCTTGTGTTGCAGTCGAAACGTAGTGAGAATTTTATTATTTTATATTTTTATTATTGTATTGTTTCCCTTCTACGTGACTTTACCGAAAGAACCAAGAACATGAATCCCTGCAGTCACGAAAGCTTTAAATCAAAATTGAATGTTTTAGATGTTCATGTCGAGGTTGGTGGGTGAGCCGGTGGACGGCTTCAGGAGTGGCCTCATGGCGAACGTCTGAAACGCTACCAGCGAATGATCCAATTCACAACACGGATAACGGAGCACGGCCAACTAATTATAATGTCAGTGGTGGCTCCATCACAGTGCCGGGGTGGACTCGACCCATCGCCAACGGAAATTCGACATTGGCCATCCTCTGGCATATAATGGCTCCTGCCATGGGAATGTGGAATTACCACCATTGATGCACGTCCACCAGCAGAGTGGAGTGTCATGCCAGGTACGCTTGAACAGATGGAGAGACTCTTTAACTTTTAAAATATTGCACCGAGGCATTTGGTGCAGTACTGCACTTTGCTGTATGATGAGAACCTATTACCAGATCTCATCGGATATCGGAAGCCAAGCAGAAATAGAGCCTGGAAAGCTCTTGGATGGGCAACCGCCATTTGTAAAATAGGTGTTGTTTTAGGCTGCTGTGCGGCTATGCTGTGGGCAGCAGAGGGCAGTGCTGCAAAAAGAAATATCGAGCATATGTCTAAGGTCCCCCACTTCTATGCTGCCCGCCTTCAATAACTCGCGCTGACCAGCTTGGACAAGTGTGGTCAAATAGCAACCGGCACGGTGAGGGAAAAGGCCCTCACCCAGCAGTGGATTGGAGAAAGGGCTGCGCATGTGGGAAGAGAACACATTTCATTTGGCTGTGTTCTATGGGAAAGGCTCATTCAGATGGTCGGAACCGAGTGTCCCTGAATTCACCTCTATGGTGTTGTCCATCGTGTTTGTTTACAAACGCGTGGCTACTTTCTTTTTCCGGACTCTGATCCACACTTCGATGGCTGTACCCTCCGTGGGGCTATTTTTGGTTGTGTGTGTGTGTGTGCGTATGCATGTGCATGCAGTTTTTAAAGGAAGCGATGAGCAAGTGTTTTTAGCTAGCCGCTTGCAAGCTACGGAATAATTGTCACGATCTAAGTTGAATTCCAGGCCCGAATTGAGTTTTCTGTTGCCAATTTGTTTCTTAATCTGCGCTAGTCCTCCATTAGGTTGGCTTAGCCCAAAATTAGTCATTTGTACTCGGCCGCACACCAGGTGGCATGGGAGACTGGTGGAAGAATGAACGGGAGAACGCAAACATTGTCGCGAATAAGACCCTCTCATCGAGGATCCCACCACAAGTACAACCACCACCACCACCACCACCAAGGCATCGGGAAGCTCACTGCCCCCTCCCACACGCAGCGGGGGGCTGCGTTAAGCCCAATCCGAACCGGCCATGGCAGTTGCAGTCACCTGTTCCAGAAATGTAAAATAAAATAGCGGGCAAAATGCAACTGCAGAGCACCGCAACAGACTGTGGAAATACATCAATATACAGGGCCATAGGGGATGTGGGGCCCAGGGCAAATCCCACCACGTGGACTTGGCCGACGCCTTCAAACTAAACCGGAAGTATTACATCTGACACTGTGACGTCAAACGGTGGGGCCCCCCCAAAGCGCAGTGCCCGGGGCGGTCGCCCCGATCCACCGCACCCCAGGGACGGCTCCTTCAATATATTTGAAAATATTTGTCTTATTTTTTACATAGCGTCATTGATATTTTTCATTGCATCTCAAAACCTTGCAGAATTTTAAAAGCACGCAGTTTTCACACGGTGGCGCAGGAATCCACAGAGGAGTGGAAAGGCAGTCCTAACCGGTCCCGGAAATTGGCCATCTCATGTCCACTTGGAGCATTTCTGAAGGGCACGAGTGGCATGCACTCGCTGTCCTTTGAAGCCGGAAGCTGGATTTACAACATAGACATTAATTTATAGCTGCTGCTCAATTCAAAGCCACGCGATATGGAGAAAGAGAGCAGAGTGCGTGATGTGGTGGATCATGAACGTGAGCTCTGAGGATATGGGATGAAGACTGGCCGACTGCTGGGCATGATACCCGTTTAGATTACGTTCTGTGCCAGCCAGAATTGGAGCTCGCGAACAACACTAGCCACCGCTTTAACAGACCAAACCCGGCGCGTAGATCTCAGTTCCTCAAAACTGCAATGTATTTGTAATAAAGTGCAACACAATTCCAGTACCAGATCTCGAGTCAAACCCGGATGGGTGAAAACTCGACATGAGTGTGAGGTTTTGAGACATTGGCAGAGGGTGTAATGCGCGCTGGCCACGGTACCGATATACATTACGTGCCATGCCAGGCTTAATAAACGCTCGCAAACAACACGACTTGGCCGGCGCGGTGTGTGCGGGTGTCTCAGGTTGGACTGTGCTGTGCCTCGGTGAGCAGCAGATATCTAAATCTGTATCGTAATTTTGAAAGTGGTGTCCGTTACCCTTATCAGATAGGTCAGGGTACTGTGGCAGCTCGCTGTAGAGGCTGAAGTAAGATTTCATAAATGAAAATCACGTTCAGAAGTTATAGTCAATGGTGCCTCGGTGGCTCAGGGGATCAGAACGCTTTGCCAGCTTTGCCGAGATCCTGGATTCAGCTCGGGGTCTTGCCAGTGATTGTTTAAATTCTGTGTACGCCTGAAATGTGCATCTGAAATCATGGAAGTGCCCCATTTTTTAACTACATTTGAACTGTTAGAGGTGATGGTGGTGATAGTTGTGTTGATGATGATGATGGTGGTCATGGTGATGATGATGGTGGTGGTGATCTCAGACGGAGTTGAGCACGCTAACCACTGCGCCACCCATCGGATTGCGACCGCCCGCTGCCCACGCGCCCGTCCCGGCGGCTGCAGCTTGTCCCGCGCAGACGCGGCGATGCTGCGGGACGAGCCGGGAGACTCTGCCGCAGTGTCCGAGGATGGGGAGATGGAGTCCCCCAGCGCAGGATCGGGCAGCGGAAGCCCCCCAGGTGAGGGCGACGCAGCGTCCACCGTGAGCACACGCCTCGAGGCTGTGGGGTTGGCATGATGCCGTGGGGTCAGCGTGGAGGCCGTGGGGGGTCGGTGTCGAGGTCGTGAGTACGTGTCGAGGCATTTGGGCCTTCGGGCCTGTGTTCAGCAACTCCGTTAAGAAATATTATAATAATCCCACCCCCCTGACCCCTAAACCCCTTATCCCATCTCGCGACTGCCGGCGTGGCACAGAGAGCCCTCCCGGCCTGGTGTCCCCCGATGTGCACACGGCCACCCGGAGCCTGGAGAAGATGATCCTGGCGCACGAGATCGCGCTCGACCCCGACTTCAGCCTCCAGCGCCACGCGCCTGCCGACGGGAGGTGATTTGCCAGCACGAGGGTCGGCCACAGGGATTTTGCATGCAATGTGCCGCTCGTTTAAATGACCCCGGAACTCAAAGCGCCTCGCATCACGTCTCACCTCAATCATTCCAACGCCCTGCTGGTTTAAAAAAAAATGTTTTTAGTTTAGGGTTAGTGGCTGATCCTAAAGGGGTGCAGGGTGGGGGGATAATGGGGTAATGGGAGCAACCCTCCCCTCCCTTCTCCCCCTTTGAGACTCCTGAGCATTGATATTTACCATGAGAAATCAATAGAATGTATGTTTTTAGAATGTTGAGCCCCTATTTTTTAAACAATCCTAATCTTAAATTTTGATTTAAAGCTTTCGTGACTGCAGTAATTCATATTCTTAGTTTTTTCGGTAAAGTCACGTTGAAGAGAAACAACAAAATAATAAAATATATATATAAAACAATACAAAATTCTCACGACGTTTCGACCATAACTCAAACGGTCGTCTTCAGGTGTGTTGGTTCGCAAAATGTATTTTTAAACGGCGCATTTATTTATTTATAAAAAAAAACGGGGGGGGATTCTAGATCGGCCTCCGGGTGTTCACAGCGAACAGCACTGACCTCTAATTAATCTGTCTGATGAATTTGAATCAAACGCCAAAGTTTTGGGTCTCAAAATGGGGTGGGGCGGGTGATCACTCCCATAACCAAACCTCGTCCCGACCCCTGACGAGTGCCTCGGCTATTTCCCAGCCTTGAGAAAGCAGTGACGGAAGCGATGCACAAGGCATTCTGGGACATCCTGGAGACGGAGCTGTCGAGGGATCCCCCAGAATTCAGCGGGGCGCTGCGTCTCATGGGGGAAATCCAGGAGGTGAGTCGTCCGAGAGTTGTCGCCGCTGTCATTTCCCTTCTCACCCGAGGTCGTCGCTGCGTTTTTATGATGATCGCGACAACCGTCCCCGCGGGTGTCGGGGGCACGAAGGCGATCTAAGGCGCCACGAACCCTCGCACCCTAACCCTGACCTCTGAGCCCAGATTGAAAACGGATTTCTTTTAAAACTGCTCCTTTGTGTTAAGTTTGTTGTCCTTTCCCCCGCACCTCCAATAAGGATGGTTGGCTACGTACGGTGCGAAAGAAGTTCAACACACAAACGCACGTGGCTTAACCCTAAGCCTAAACCCTACTTGCAATCCATGCTGTTGCTGCCGCCGACTGTCGCCACGATGCTGCGGCTGACGATCGTGGTAATGTAACGACAACCGTCTCATCTGCCACCCTCCTCCGCCGCTCCCACGGCACCGGCACCAACCCGGCGCCGGCTCCCAGACGCTGCTGTCCCTGCTGCCGAGCCCGACCCGGCGCTCGCCGCTGCCAGAGTCGCTCGACGCCGGACTGCTGACGCAGCAGGCGAAGGCGGGGACGCTGGACGTGGTGGAGGTGGGCGACTCCGTGGTGCGCACGATGGCGCGGCTGTGCGCGCCCGTGCGCGACGCCGACGTGCGAGCGCTGGCGCGACTGGCGGAGGACGCCGCCGGTGATAAAGGCCGCAAAGATGTCAAGACGGCGGTGTCACTCTATCGGTGCGTGCGATCGAGTGTGCGTGTAGGTTGCCTCAGTGAGTACCTGGCGCGGTGTGCAGGGAACATTGCCACGAGGGAGACAAAGGCGGCCGGGCGTGGTGCTGGCCACCCACCCCCTTGTGTGCCGTGCCTCCCTTTGTAGATGCCACTCGCTAAAATCACTTGCCTGTATTAAAAAAAAAAGAGACGTGCAATCAGAAACTCGTCCAGAATGCATTCCCTTGGTGAACCCAAGTTGGCCACACGTGCACGGCACATGTTTTGAGTGTCAGCTAGGCACATGGTGTATCACGGTATGAGTATCGTCACCCTCCGTGTGTCTGTCCCTGTGTATCTGTCTTGTCTATGCCCCTCTCTCTGTCTCTCATCCATCCCCCCGGGTTTCTCTTCCTCCCAGCGAGATCTTCCGAGTGCTGGACCTCATGAAGCAGGACTACGCCAACTTCTCCATCCGCTGCGTGCGCCCGTGGCTGCAGGCCGACGCGGGCCGCTACGAGCAGTCGCAGTTCGACCGCTTCCTGCGCGACGAGCCCAGTGAGTGGCGCGGCACGGCGCGGCGCGGCGTGGCGCGGCACGGCGCGGCGCGGCACGGCGCGGCGCGGCGAGGCGATGCACGGCGCTTGTCCCCCGTCGTTTATGACGCAGCAGCGCAAGCCGTCCGGGCCCAGCTTGTCCGGCGGTAGAACGAGCAGCTCGCAAACCCGTCTGGGTGTTTCCGCTGTGGGCGTAGTCGGGGGTTTTTTTTATATCTCACTCGATATTTTTGCACGTAAGTACGTACGTTGAACTCGTTATCGCTTTTAACATGCCGCTGCTGCTGGTGGAAGGGTGTCCGCTAGAGAGAGCTCCATTTCGCCTACCCTGGCCTACTCTTGTATGCTGGCCAGGCATCTCAGAAGATGTGGGAGTACCCACAGCTGAATGACGAACGTACGTACGTACAGTAAAACCTTGGATTGCGAGTAACTTGGTCTGCGAGTGTTTTGTTAGATGAGCAAATTTTTAAATAAATATAAATTTGATAAACGAGCGAGGGTCTTGCAATACGAGTAGTACGTATATGCTTTGTCTGCCGAGCGTCACGTGATCACAACTGATATACGAGTGCTTTGATATATACGAGTGCTTTGGATTACAAACACGTTTCCGAGACGAATTATGCTCGCGATCCAAGGTTTTACTGTATGTTGAACTTCTTTCGCACCGTACCTAGCCAACCGTGCTAATCGGAGGTGCGGGGGAAGGACGACAAATTTCACACAAAACACTGCTCAGGCAGGCTTGGAGTAGAGATGAGTGGAGTAGAGAATGACCACTACAGTACAAGTTGCGTCAGTCCGGAGTAATTCTAAAGAATCGCAAGCTGATGCCGGCCAGGCGGCGCAGGGGTAGAGCAATCGGCTCGCAATCGGAATTTTGCGAGTTCAAATCCTGGTTGTGGGGTGTTTGGGGTTTGACTCGGCCAATCAACCCTCCTTCTAGCGGCGATACAATGAGCACCAGTCTGTCTGGAGTGAGTCAACAATGGTTGACTTGCTATTTATACCCCAGCCCATAGGAATGTGGAATTTCCTCCACGAGCTCAGGATTGTAAACATTGGATGGATGTAGGTAGAAAAATAAAATTAAAAATGATGTATTATTTTTTCTTTTCTTTTACTTTTTCTACCTACGTGACTATACCGAAAGAACCAAAGAGTATGAATTCCTGCAGTCACGAAAGATCAAGTTTGGATGAATGCCTCAACAAACGCTCAGCAGCAAATTGGCCTGACTTAGACTCGTGTGTATTGTCTAGTCAGTGGCACGCACGCACGCAAGTACACGTGTACGTGCGTGCGTGCCACTGACGTGTACGTGCGTGCATGAGTGCGTGCGTGCGTGCGCTGTGCTACGAACCCGGCGAACCAAATTGGATTTCCTCTCACGGCAAACGCCAGTGACAATTATCTGAACTGGTCCAGGCCTCCCTTAGGTCGGCTCGGTCTCAAATGAGTACCTGGTGCGATGTGTGTAAACATCGCCACTTGAGCGTGGTGCTCTGCCGCCCACCCCCTCGTGTGCCCAACCTCCGATAAGCACGGTGGGCTGCATGCCGGGCGGAAAGACGTTCAACATAAATACATACGTGCCTTGATAGCTTCTCACTAATACTACTTGCCCCAAAAAAATCCGTCAAGGCTATACAGGAGATCTTTGCTTTTGTGTGTGTGCCCACACGCATGCATCTCCTTACGCACGTGTACCCACGTGTGTGTGTGTGTGTGTGCGCGCACGTAGACGCGCTGGAGCTGACGCGGCGCTGGCTGGCGGCAGCCGTGAGCCACACGCCGTCGCGCGCCAGCGTCTTCACACCCGATGCCACTGCCCGCACCCCAGGGGTCGTGACCCCCGTGCTAGATCCCTCGGTCGTGCTGAGCCAGGCCTTCCTCGACCTGCTCGCCTGGGAGCCAGGCGAGCCCTACCCAGAGGTGCGTGCGTGCGTGCGGGGGAGTGGGAGAGCCTCAGTATAGTGTCTTGCGAACAGCGATACGATCCCGGCGACCCCAGTTCCATTTCCCCTTACGACCAATAAGAGTTGCGAATGTCTGAACTGGTGCTGGGCCTTCTCTAGGTTGACTCGGCCCTAAATGAGTACCTGGAGTGGTCTGTAAACATCAGCACTTGAGAGGCAATGGTGGTCAGGCGTGGTCCTGGCCCTTGTACGTGTTCGCCGTATTGGTCTAGATAACCGCACATTATAGCACTTGCCCTTAACGGTTGTGTGGGCTACACGGCGGGGGTGGTATCTTTGCCTGTGTACATGTACGCGTGTGCTTGTGTGGTGGTGGTAGTGGTGATGGTAGTGGGGTGGGGGGGGGGGGCAGTGGTGCAGTGGTTAGCGCGCCGTGCGATGAACCCAGCGACCCAAGTTCGATTCCCGTTAATGGCCAATATTGGCGACGAATATCTGAACTGGTCCTGGACTTTCCCCTACGTCGACTCAGCCTCAAATGAGTACCTGGCGTGATGTCTGAACATCGCCACTAGGGAGACAAAGGCGGCCGAGCATGGTGCTAGACACCCATCCCCTCGTGTGCCACTTACCCCAACAGTCTGTTCAGGCTATACGGGGGATCTTTGTCCTTGGTGGTATCGGTGGTTGCCGCGGCGGTGGCGGCAACGTCCAGACAGTGGGGGCGGATCGCGGGCGCCTGGAGGGAGAGGCGCCCTTTTCAGTAGGTGCTCGCAAACCGCACTTGACCCCAACAGTCTGTTAACGCTATACAGGGGATCTTTGTCTTTGGCGGTGGCGGTGGTGGCGGCGGCGCGTAGACGGTGGCGGCGGACCGCGGGCGCCTGGAGGAGGCGGCCGGGCACGTGCGGCGCCTGCGGGTGCAGGCGAGCGTGCTGCTGGTGGTGCGCGGCGGTGGCTGGGCGCGCGAGCTGCTGCGCGGGCAGCACGCGTTCCTCGCTCACGCCAAGCACGTCGTGGACGCGCTCACGCAGGGAGCCTGCCACCCGTACGAGACGCGTCAGCTCGCGCCGCCTTCGGGATTCCACCGACTTTCGTCTCTTTTTCTCACGTTCTTATCGCCGTGCTCGATTCGAGAATGTGCGCCTTCGGCGGCGCTGTTTGCCGCTGGCCGCTTGATATTTTGGGCCCCTGTGCCTCCGTTGCTGTGATTTAATAGCAAAACATCTGCCGATGTCTCCTCGCTCCCGTGCGTCTCACCCTCCCCCCCCCCCCCCCATCCGTGCGTCTCTCCGCTCATCGTGTCTCAGCCCGGCCATGCTAGCCGAGGCGCTGGGCGCAGTGTCGGAGCAGCTCGACGTCGATCTGTGCCGCCTGGCCGAGCAGCGAGGCCTCCACGAGACCCCCGCGGCGGCGCGCGCCGCCCTGTGTGGCCAGATCCGGGACCTGTGCAAGCCCGGCAACCCGGTCGCGTCGCTCGTGGGTGCGTGGGCACGTGGGCGCATGTGCGTTTGTGTGTGCTAGCCTAGTGACAGCAGTGCAGGGACGGTACGGCGGTGGAAAGAGCCGCCACCCCCCCCCCCACCCCCCCTATTTTCCCATAATTCTCCTTTCCTACAGAGCCGCCCCCTCTTCTGTCAGCGCTACCAGTCACGTGACCCAGGCCTGCCGACCAATTTGCTGGTGACGTCAAGTCAAATCCCGCCCGCCCAAGCGCGTGCATCTTCACCCCCTCGGGCATTAAATTCGCCTAATCATAGCGAGCACTTGGAATAGAAAGTTACAAAGGGCATTTGTCTCATCAGCCCAGCCTGCGTCCGTCTAGAGCACGGTAGTTCATGTTCGGTGGATCGTGTGTGTGTGACCAGCACAAGCGCACGCTTGGGAAGGATTGAATTGTATTCGAACACAAATCTCTGTCTGTTCACACACTCGTGAAATAATCACCATGAATCCGTTTGGACGTTTCTGTAACTTTTAGTATGAAGGTTTTTTTAAAGTAACTTGAGACAATTTTTATTCGAGGAAATACATCCTGTTTTATATTTATTAATGTCTTTTTTTGCAGTATCTTTGATTCATTCTGTAATGTAATGTTTTGCTGTCCGCTTCATTGTTCTCCCTACTTTTACTGCATTGCTTTTCCCGTTTTGGTGACCCAGTGTTTCACGTACAACTGAAGCTGTCCTTGTCTCTTGCCTCTTGCATTCTCATCTGGTTTTACAAGATAAACTTTACACTTGAATGTTAATGCTGCCTTCCTTAAAAAACAACGTCCCATCGGTTAATGGTTTGATTCAGTTCATGGGCGCGACGGTGGATGAGATGTTAAATACTTCGCTTGGTATACAAGAAGTCGTGGGTTCAATCCCGAGCCTGATGTCTGCTGAATATTTGGCGTCTGCATGTTGTCCTCGTGATCGCGGGGATTTTTCTCCGGATCCTCCGGGTTTTCCCTCCAAATTTAGAGTGTGTTGCTGCAATAAATGTCCACATGATAAGCCACTTCATTGAGCTATCATTTGTGACAGCCAGGTCACTTCTGAAAAGAGCTATACAGCTCATTGGGCTTTCCCTGGTGAACTAAAAAATAGTTTATAGTTTTAATTTATCCACCACAGGTGTTGACGAGGGACCGTGTTTTTGTTTTTGCGTGTGCTCTGCCCGGCCGCCCCCCCACCCCCCCACCATCTCAGCGAGCCGCGTGAACGACTACCTAAAAGGGGTTGTGGAAGGACGGTCGTCCATTCCGATGCCAGGAGGACTTGCGCCGGTGGGACCGGAACTGGAAAACGTGGCTATGAAGTAAAATTCACTTTCCTTTAATCACATTCTCTCCTCACAATCATTAAAAAAAATCTGTTCCCCTTGTTACTACAGACCGGCTTCTAATACAATGCCGATGTTAAAACAGTGTTTGTGAATTTCCAGTTGAGAGCACTAGATAATCTGAAAGGAGCCTCATGAACCACAAATGAAATAAGGATAATCAAGGAGCTTTTGTCTGGCTTGATGAAAATTGGGGATTAACACTGAAACCCCAATCCTAAAGCAACCTTATTCTGACCCTATATTTGCTGGTGACATTGTCATTACATGGACTCTTACGAAATATAATTTGTTACTCTTAGAAATACTTCCGCTGAACCATTGCCGTATCTCTTTTTCCCCCATTTGCCCATTCGCCATTGCAGGTATGCCCGCCTGGTGATGCACAACCGCAACGTCTTTGGAACCCACTACTTGCGCATCCTCTGTGGGCTCATCGTGTCACCAGCGCAGGCAGGCCTGCCAGGCAAGGCCTAGGCTTCCCCCGTCAGTCTCCACGACAAACTCCGCCTTCTCCCTTGCCCCCTCAAAGTTGAAGACTTAATCAGGACAAGGCGGTTGACTTGCCTGTTGTCTGATTGGTCAATAGGGCGCCATACAAATTGTTGACCTGGGTCATGTGACCGGCGGTGCTGATGGAAAGGGACGGCTCGAGAAAAAGGGAAATATGGGAGAATGTAGGGGGCTTTTCACACCGCCGTATCGTTGATATTATTCTATAGTTTTCGATTTGGAAACCTTGGTATATATATTAAACTTTGAATTACAATTTGAAAAAGAAAAAAATATATATAGATACAAAAACTATGCATTTACGTTGTGAAAATCTTTATTAAGCAAAAGAAGTGCATTTTTTTTTACTAAAATGTTTTTTTTTAACTTTGAACAAAAAGGTAAAAAAAATGGTGCAAAAATGATGAAAGACAGTTCACTGCCTGTAGTTACTGAAGATTTTTTATGCTTTCAAGCCACCATGGTAAAGTGGTGGGGGGGGGCATTTTTGTGGTGCAAAGACTTAAGTCATCCAATCCTGTCTCATCAGAGCCAGTGGTGGAAATTCCACATTCAATATGGAATGTACAATCTATACTATTATTTTGGCATGATGATGGTTATCATCAGGCGCTTTTACATAAAAGTCTGTCCCGCTTCCCCTCACCCCATAATATTTAAAACAAATTGGGGTTTATCTGCGGTTTAAAATATAATCTGGCTCCATGGTAAACTCCTTATACAGGGACTGCTCTGCTTACGAACATTCGACTTACGAACTTTCAGAGGTACAAACATGTCCTTATGTCCAGTTGCCTGTTCGGACCGAGAGTCGAAAGTTCAACCACCGCGCAATAGATGGCGGTGGCGACATCTACATCTGCAGAACGTGAAGAACCAGTGGCATCTACATCTGCAGGAGATTATACAATTTTTAAAGCCATTCCCCGTGTTTAGTGTACACACCGTACAACGTGTATGTAATCGACGGGCGTAAAGTTGGACTTGCGAACACATCGACTTACGAGCAGAATTCTGGAACCTAACTCGTTCGTAAGTAAGAGGAGTCCCTGTCTAGACAAAGGGTGGCACTAGCTCGCTCTGTAAGTTGCGACCTGTGTAGTGGGCAGGGCCTGCGATGAGCAGCAGTAGGCGGAGCCGATATCCGGAAGTGGGCGTGGCTCTGCAAAAGTGGGCGGGGGGCTCTGTAAAAGTGGGCGTAGCCCTGTAGAAGCGGACGGGAGCTTTGCAGAAAGTGGGCGTGGTCCTGTAAACGTGGGCGTGGTCCACAAAAAAGTGGGCGGGTCCCTGTAAGTGGGCGGGGCCTATAAACGTGGGTTTGCCATCTTGCAGGTTTGAACACAGTGTGTGATGATTTTTTTTTTGCCAGATGAATTTGTTCGAGCGAGAATAGAGGTTGAAATGTTAAGCTTCCGAATGGCAGTCAGAGTATTCTGACCACGGAGCATCCAGGCCGATATAAAAAAATATAGATATACCCCCCCCTTACCCCACGTTGCCCCAGATATATAAAGGTGCTTTGATCGTGGTTCTTACAGTGATAGTATTCACATTTAACGTAGAGTATATAGTACGTGTGTTGAGTTTTGGTAAAAACGTTTTGAGAGCAAACCGTCCAAAGTAATGGCTCTCATTAAATTTCGCACGCACCAGAATGTTATAATTTTAGTATATTGTTATGCAAACCTGTCAACCCCTTATCAGTGACTACCTTATTGCAGACCAATTCAGACTTTAATGGTCAGCCCGTGCTCTTATAAATCTCAACGTTCATCCTACAAAGTCCCATCACAAGGGAGAAACACAAACAAATAGACACCACTAATACATTCACCACAACTACACTCACCACTACGTACACTCACCACTACTGCACTCACCACTACGTACCTGTCAACCCCTTATTACAGACCAATTCAGACCTTATTGGTCACCCCGTGCCCTTATAAATCTCAACGTTCATCCTACAAAGACCCATCACAAGGGAGAAACACAAACAAATTTGACAAAAGTTATTGTTTTTTTGCTCGTACTGAAACGGCTGTTTGCCGTATGGACCTGAAAACTCAATTTCCCTGTACAATAATACGGGGTAAACAGTATGGGTTGACAGGTATGGTTACGTCTATGATTCGTGACGTCGGTTTGTGTGTGTGTGTGTAAGTCTGGAATCGAACCTCGGGTCGGTTTGGCTCTCAACGCTGTTCACTAATCACTGCGCGCCGCTTCTGCACCCAGTCTTTAGGTTCACGTTAATGAAGACTTTTTTAGTATTTAATCCTCAAAGCTTTTTTGACCACATCTCGTACACAAACGAGCGCGTCTGTGATGATGATGATGATGACGATGGTAACTACCGATTCAAGACTGAGTTCTTCAAGTCGTAATCATGTTGTGTGGGTTTTTTTGGTCTCTAGTTGTGCTGCCTCGCTGGTTGTTTTATTTCTTGTTTTAAACTAACATAATTTTTACTATGATTCTGGTGTTCCGTGTAAATGAGGGCTTCATTTCTCACCCGATATTTTCTAGAACGCTCCTGGGTCTGGCTTGGAGTAGGGATTCACGCCGTAAGGCACTACCACGAGAGTATAGTGTACGCCTATCCGTAATATATCCTTTATTTATCTATTTTATACCGGCTTGATGGCTCCGCTGTAGAGCGAGGGAATCGATTAAATTTGTATCACTCTGTAGGGGTAGTCAACGGTGGCTCCGGGGTCGTAAACGGGAGATGAACACTTCATCGGAGCTCATTTCAGCAACAAATCACCTCGACTTTTTATATTCCTATAATCCTTTGAACCAGTTTTTTTTTTTATATATATCAAATGCAGCACCACGAGGACAATATAAGGCAAGATGGGCTGTGGCATACCAGAATTATTCCCAGAAGAGCCTTTCCGGACTGCTCCGGGTGAAATGAAGCACTCGAGTGTTTGTGGTTGTGCTCGCTGGACTAACTCTGCTTCCACCAGAAATTGAGGGCATTGCGCGTTTTCTTCCGAGCAAACGTTCTCTGCGGGTGAATGCGCGGGAGGGTTTTTTTATTTTTACATTTGACGTTGCGTGGACGTGACCACCGCCGGGCCATATTGGACGCTCACTTTGTTGCGTAAGGGATACACGACCCTTATCAAAAACCGATGCGGACCTCTCAAATTGTCACGCATAGCTGTAGTGGTGGTGCCAAGGCATAAGTGAACTAAGCAAAAAGCGCAGAGCTCCCAAGTAGCTCAAGGGAGTTCTGGTTTCTTTGAGGAAAGATAAATAGTGGCGCGCCAAATATCATCTTGACGCATATGAAACAAAAAGAAACCTCGCGATTGTTGTCTATTGACACCAGTTCACACGACCGTGATATCATTGCTTTGTGTAGCTTGTCCGTCAGTATCATGCTTACAGTCACGCGCTGCACTCGGCAATCATTTCTGCATTGCACGTGCTGGTCGGTGGCAGCCGCTGTTCGATGATGCCATCTCACGCTTTGAGACGTCCGACGGCGGTGGCTTTTTCTCCTTTGGAAATAAAACGCACCGATGTTTGAAATGAATATCCCATTCGCTTTATCTTATGTGCGTACGTACTATGTTGAACGTCTTTCGCGCACCGTACGCAGCCAACCGTGCTAATCGGAGATTTAACACGTGGGCTTTCGCGACCAATATCATCCGTGTTTTGTTTTTTTCCCGGTTAGATCGTTTGCTAGTACAGCACACCGGTGTGTTGGAGAGCAAATCAACACCATTTACAATCCGAGTACAATGTTTTGCCAGTAATTACAACTAGCATCAGGCGACAGCCAGATTTGAGGAGAAATCCTCCTGTTTCGTTCCTTAAATAGAGGATGTTGGAGATGTTATGACTTTTAAGTCGCGTCAAGTTTCAAAACCGCAAGTCCCATTGCCCTTGGGGATTTCACGTTGTTGAACGTCTCGCAGCCGTGCAGTGGATTCGAGAATTGTTGTTCTCTACCTGGAGTAAATAGCAGAGTGCGGTGCTGTTTACAGTGCACCAGCATTTACTGCCGATGGTGCAGGCCTTATGCAAGGGTCAACTCTTAAAGTTGTCTTTACGGCCTTTCTATGAGGGGGGAAAAAATCGGGAAACTAATCAAAACTCCAAGGGTGTTGCTATTTCGGTTACTGGGGGGGGGGGGGGGGGGGCGTGTTAACGAAGTGCTGGATATTAGCCCATTGCTGCTACACAAACCTATTTTGTTTCCATTTTCTCCATAAGGATACTCGCCCTTGCCTGTGTGACCAAAACGTGTTTCTGTGCCCCAAGTGTGTGTGTGTTAAGTTTCTTTCAAATAACTTGGATATCTGCCTCAGTTCATTAAGTCCCCCCACCCCACCCCCAAGTCTTTTCAGTAGGGGCCTCACCGATTTGAACCCTTTGGGGTTGGCGTTTTATGACGTCTCTGTCGTTACTCCCATGGTTGCTGCTTCCGTGAACTTCGCTCAACCGATTCCCCCACCCATGGTGAGAACGGGACATCTGTGAAAATACTGGACATCTCTGAAAAACAGCTTTGTAGCTCATCGGGTTCCTCCAGTATAGACAAATATTCAGATTCTGACTGGGTCTATCAGACACCGGACTTGTTTCCTGTCATCCCCACTGTGTCCAGGCACCACCACCAACACTTCAGATCACAACACTTCCCGCTCTATCTAATTCTTCGCTCGCACTGCTCCACTTTGGAATTCATCCCATTGTCTCTTTTTATTTTTTTCCTGAGCTCTACTGAGCCTCACTCCGTTCAAGAAACCAGTTACAAATTAGATGATACTGTTTGTAACTGGCCCCTGGGCGTTTGGGCCCTTTTGGGCCCGTACTGTATCTCGAAAATATGTTACGCTTGCTTAAACGTCTCGGCAACTCAAAAGCACCTAAACGTCACATCTCATCTCAAACATTCCAAGTGCACCCCCAGTGGCAGCCCTCCCTCCCTGTGTGGCGAAAGGCTCCTCGACACCTGGCCTGCAAAGCGGCATCGGTCTGCCAAGTTAGGGAGCGATGATTGATGTGTGATCTGGCCTAGGGGCACACCCCCCCCCCAGTGGCAAAACGGTCAAAGTTCAATGGTGCCGGGAGGGAGCGATTATGACAACCACACAGCTGAGTAATTTGCGGTGTAATTTTGTCGACTTTGGCAAATTCTGACCGTGACGCCTGCATACAAAGGCCCCCGCTGGTTTCAATTGGGAGAGACTGGGGGATGTGATTGGTTTTGTGGCATGCGTCGCTGGAAAAGTGATTTGGAAACTTATTCAGCGTTGTTGGTAATGCCTGCTTAGGGGCCGTCCATAAATGACGTCATGCACCTGGGGGGTGGGGGGGGGGGTCAGACATTTGTGACGATGTGCGACGAGGGGGGGGGGTTTGAGAAATGTGACGTCACATCAAAATGCGCAACTTTAAATAAATATAGACAACACGTTCTACTTAATTAAATGGACTTTTAATGTTTTCTCCTACATCAGAGTGCAGCGCCACATTAAATACGCACTACAATGACAATAGTTTAAAGCAATTTGAAGCATGTTAATTTTTTTTTGGGGGGGGGGGGGGGGCAGAGCTTTGTGACGTCATATTTGTGGGGGGGTCTGACTTTTTGTGACGCCGTGTGACGAAGGGGGGGGTGGGTCAAAAATCGTCCAAAATCGCGTGACGTCATTTATGGACGGCCCCTTAGCCAATGAATTAAACATCTTAGCGGTGCAAGGCAACAACTGATGATTGATAAGGGGGGTGGGGGGTGTATTTTAACCACCCATATTCTATCACATCATAGGTATTATATATGCTAACCAGATTAAATTAATGTAATTTATATATAGTGTACATGCCGTCCAAACACGTTGGACGGCATGTACACTAAACACGGGGAATGGCTTTAAAAGTTGTATAATCTCCTGTAGATTGAGATGCCACTGGCTCTTGACGTTATGCGAATGCAGATGCTACCGCCGCCGCCATATATTGCTCGGCGGTCTGAACAGGCGACTCGACATACGGGGACAGGTTTGTTTGTATCTTTGAATGTTCGTAAGTCGAATGTTCGTAAGTAGAGGAGTCCGTGGAGCAGAGTTTTACATGGGTTGTCTGATCTGGTTAATTACGTCACGCAGGAGGCGGGGCGGGGGCGCGGCTATGGTAATTAGAAGGCATGGTCAGGCATAAACACGGAGAGGGCGCGCGCGTTTGCCGCGACGTCATCACAGCTGCAGCCGATACGGCCATCTTGCTGCGGGAAGTTTAACGCGACGATGGGAGGGGGTTAGTGGCGCATCGCGGTGACGTCATGTACGGAGATTTTAGCGGGGGAGTTGTGGGGGGTGGGGAGTAGTGTGGTGGGGGGAGGGGTGGTGGGGGGGGAGGGGTGGTGGGGGGGGAGGGGTGGTGGGGGGGGAGGGGTGGTGGGGGGGGAGGGGTGGTGGGGGGGGAGGGGTGGTGGGGGGGGAGGGGTGGTGGGGGGGAGGGGTGGTGGGGGGGGAGGGGTGGTGGGGGGGGAGGGGTGGTGGGGGGGGAGGGGTGGTGGGGGGGGAGGGGTGGTGGGGGGGGAGGGGTGGTGGGGGGGGAGGGGTGGTGGGGGGGGAGGGGTGGTGGGGGGGGAGGGGTGGTGGGGGGGGAGGGGTGGTGGGGGGGGAGGGGTGGTGGGGGGGAGGGGTGGTGGGGGGGGAGGGGTGGTGGGGGGGGAGGGGTGGTGGGGGGGGAGGGGTGGTGGGGGGGGAGGGGTGGTGGGGGTACTTCCCTGAGCAAGATGGCCGACTGAGGTTGGGCTGTTCTCGTCGCCAATCTGAA